GCATTTCACTGTTGTTATGTGTGTTGGGATATTATCTGGGCGGAGAGATAAGGGTGGCTATAGGAGAGATAAGGATGGCTATAGAAGCGATAAGGGTGGCTATTGATATTGTCAGGGTGGAGGGATAAGGGAGACTATTATAGGAGTGATAAGGGTGGCAATAGGAGAGATAAGGATGGCTATAGAAGCGATAAGGGTGGCTATTGATATTGTCAGGGTGGAGGGATAAGGGAGACTATTATAGGAGTGATAAGGGTGGCAATAGGAGAGATAAGGATGACTATTGTCATGGATGATATATGATGATGTGGAGTTATTATGTTGGTAATTTTTATGTGATGTTGGGGTATTCCTTGTGCTTATTTTTATATCTCGTGCAACTTGTCTTGTTGTTTCGGTAAACTTGATAATAGCCTGATTTATGTTGAAATTGTGAGCATGTGGCTATTGCCGGGCAAGTAATGTTATATGGGATCGGGTTGCACATCGCAATGGATATGAAACGTGGGCACGAGGTGCCGGAAAAAAATATGATGATTTTATTATTAGCACGTGAAGTGTCCGTGCAACTGTGATATGAAAAGTGGGTACGAGGTGTCGGAAAAATATGACAATTTAATTATGAGCACGAAGTGTCATGAAAATATGAAAGTGGGCTGAGACCCGTGTTTACAAAAAATATAAAAATGGGCTGAGGCCCGTATTTTTATGATTATGAAATGGGATGTCACATGGTGACTTTTAATTGAAAGAATTATATTCAAAATATTTATTTGGAAGAATTTTTATTCAAAAAGTATTATTTGAAAGAGATTTGTTGAAATAATAATATTTGAAAGATATTTATTCGAGGAAATTATATTTGAAAGAGAGTATTTAAAAAAATTATATGTGAAAGATATTTATTTAAATGACTTGATTTAATTGGGTATACTTGTATTTATTATTTGTTGAGCGATATTAATGGTGTTCTTGTTGCCCTGTTGTGCATATCACTGGTTGATTTGTGATGTACTTATTGTTATTTGTTTCCTATTATTTTGTATACCATATTGCACAGGTTATTAAACTAGTGAGTGTCTTGACTGTACCTCGTCACTACTCCACTGAGGTTAGTCTTGATACTTATTGGGTACCGACTGTGGTGTACTCATACTACACTTTTGCATATTTTTGTGCAGAGCCAAGTATTGGAGATATCAGACTCGGGTAGAGTTAGTGTGTTGATCGCAAGGATTCAAGGTAGAGCTGCTTGGTCGACGCAGTCCCTTGGAGTCTTTCCATTTTATTGTACTGTCAACTCTTATTCGAACAGTATTGTATATTTGATCTTTGAGATCATTGCATGTATTCAGTTAGAGTTCGTGACTCAGTATTACCAGTCTTGGGAGGTTTTTATATTTGTTTCCGCTTTTGGTTTCGATTATCTATTAAAAAAAATGGCTTGAATTGTAATTATAATCGGCTTACCTAGTCCTAGAGACTAAGTGCCATCACGACGCATGTGCTGGGATTTTGGGCCGTGACAAATTGTTTGAGATTTGAGATTCAAACAAGCTATGCCTAACTTGCTACTTGTAAAAAGGTGCTTGCATTTTAATTTCCCATTATGATGATATCACAACTTTTAACAATAATTTTCACAGCCTTGAAAAATTTGGATTCTCAAGATACATATATATATGGGGCACAAAGCACTGATAGACCAATATAATTAATATTTTATCAAATACAACCTTTGAAAATACAAATTTCAAGATAACCGTAGCCATATTCCTCCAAATCTTCATTACAAACATACACAAGATCATTAGTTTATCATTCCAAACTAAATTCAAATAAAACATTAGAATTCAGAATCTCAAAAATAAACCATAATTCAACATAACAAATTTTATCATTAGGGAAAAGTAATTGTTTTTTTTTTACCTTAGATTCATTTTTGGACTTGTTGGCAGTAGCTTCAGTATTTCTTGCCATAGGAAAAGCTGCTCCTTTAGAAGTAGATAAAAAGGAAACAGATTAAAAAAACCCAAAAAATAAAACCTATTTTGAAAAACACCAAACCTGAGAAACCAACAGACTAAATTTCCATGAAAAAGCACAAGAACAATAAAGCTTCCATCTTTGATAGTAATTTCATCCCCCACTCAACACAAACTCTTCCTCTTCAACAATCAACCTCTCTTATAAACATACATTCAATACTTCAAAGTATTAAAATTATCTTTGAACTACTTGAAACTCTTAAAATTATCTCCTGCATTTAAATTAAAAGCAATGTTAAACTCTGCTGTTAGAAAATCTAAAGAACTCTCTATTTTCTCTATTAATAAATAGAATTGTCTAAAAATGAAGTATCTCCGCAATGAAAAACAAAAATCAATGGAATATGAAAAAGAAGCCTATCTACAGTAATCTAGAGTAACGTATCTGCACAAGTGAAACACAAATTGACTTATAATAAATTTTCCCAGGTAATGAAGCATTCCGAGCAACTAATTACAATCTTAAGTGTCAAAACACACAAGTCTCCTAACGGGAAATCTGAAATAAAATTGTGGACTTCATTCTAAAAGAGATGAATCAGGCATATCATCTTCTTGGGTGCATATTTATTATTATTATTCATAATCACACTATGAAAAAAGGAAAGAACAGAGATATTGAAACTCAAGCTGGTAAAGCAATCATACCAGGCGTATATTAGCGGTAATTATCGATCAGCCTGTCTTCCCTCTCTCCGTGTTTGTCTCCTATTTCAGAATTGCATCTTTAGATAGGTTAAGCTGCAGAAAAAAAAATTAAGAGACCCAATCTTCGAACGAATATTGATACCACAAAATTTTGATAAAAAGATCAAAAAAAACAAAGTAAATGTACAAATTAGGAACAATTACTGACATATATGTAAAAATTCTAGCAAGAATAATGCAAAACAGCAAAAAACAAACAAATTTCATAAAAAAAAAAATAGTAAATGTGCAAATCAGGAATATTTACTGATATGTATGTAAAAAAATCTAGCAACAATTATGCAAAACAACAGAAATCTAACATTTACCAACCAAAATTTAGATTAGCAGTAGAAGAAGTGCAATAAACAAATAAAATTGCACAAACAACAAACTAAATTAAAAGAGCTCACAACACATTCAAATAGAACAAAGATGGATAAACTATCTACATATGTCAACAGGAGAATTCACAAAGAGAAATTGAGAAGTAAAGGGGAAAATAAAGAGGTATACAGGGGAATAGACGATGAGTTGAGTAGCAGTGATACAATGAAAAGGCTCTTCAGGTCATAGCGCTTACTCAGCAAATTTTACGCTGTGTGTATAGTATACAAAAGCCCATGAAAATATTTCAGAACTCAAAAAGGCAATGAAAAGACTTAAAGCCCCCTGTCTCGGCATCTGAAATGACCAAGTTGCCCTTGGTAAGCAGGCATGACGACCCTGACCTGCTTCCCAAGCGACTTCTATATAGTAAGTAAATAAAAATCACATCAAGATTCAAGAGCATCGAAAGGTTGATTTCATTCTTTTCAAATTAATTGACATTTTCTTTTTATTCATTCTAAAACATAATTCAAGAAACCTTTTAACTTTTACATTTTCATTTAGTACTATATATTTCCTCAATTTCACTTTGTTTGTCGGAAGAACACTTTTGAAATTTATGATTTTATATAAGCAATAATATTTGTGTTGTTATAAATATTTTGAAACTAATAATATTAAATACCCAAACAATATTTTTCTAAATAGAAATTTCACCAACATTCACAAAATAATGATATGATCCCTCAATGACTAGTTGAAAGAGGAAATTGGTGATGTGATACTAATGCAGTTTATTAAGCTACCAATCAGAGCCGCAAATCCTTATTAAAGCTTACAAACACAAAGAATCTAGTTGATATAGTGGATTCGACCTATTCCTTTACCTAGAAGGAAAAAAAGGGAATATGATACATCCTAAAGAAGCTTATTCTTCAACCTCTTTCACGCTCAAGTCACGTCAAGCGTTAAAACAAAAGTAAAATTCAAATCCAATCCAATATATCATAATCGATTTGCTGTTAAGATGCATATTGGTCTTCGTCCAAGTTTATGAATCCCTATTTGTTTACCCATAAAACAATACAATTGAATTTATACGTGGTTTCTATAGAAGTGAGTTAATTTGATCCTGAAATAATAGATGAATTAGATAAAAATATAATACTTAGCCTTGAGATGTAAACGAAATAATAGAAATAGTAGTTCCGGGAGTAGGGCTTCCGGGTACAACAACAATGATATAAAAAAACACTAAGATAAAATTATATTAAGCTTTGAATAGAGTGAAGCGTATGTTTGTCAGAAAATTCGTGTCATTTACAATAATAATAGAGCTCACTATTTATTGTTGCACCTAGAGAACAAGATCCTAGGATCAAACCCTTCTTTAATGTCAATTATGAGGGCCATTGAAGATTGTGTAACGGCGGGCATTGAATGCCATATTTCTTGTAGCTGGCAATATACTTAATGCTGTAGAGTATTCTTCATTAAATGCTACATGGTGACAGACATTTATTTCATCTTTATGAGTATCAATCTTTTCGGTAACAGACGGGATCGTTGCCTTCGGTTTCAGCCATCTTCTGTTTTCGACTCCACGTGTCACTTCCTGATGTGATCATCTAATATAACATATTTTACCCTATACAGATAATCTCCCTGCTTTCTGGTGGCATAACTTTGTGTCACCGGAAAGTTGGTAGAAACATTCTTTTTGGCAAAAAATTTACTAACCCTCTCTGAAAAATTTCTGACGGTTGATTAGACGCATGCCTCTCCGCATTTAATTCCTCGAACACGCGTCATCCCATGATTTAGCATCACTTTTGCCGGTTATCGGGATAATTATGGCCACGAGTTTAGCCACATGTACTTTACTTATATGCATCAACCTCATTCGTTTACACTTCATAATACTCTAAATTTTCTCAGACTTTTTTTACTCAACTCATACATCGACTTTAACCTTTCTTTAGCTTCCTACTTTGAGAGAAAACCCCCCATTCTGATAAAAATGGCCTCTCTTCAAGAAACCCTAGTTCTTCAAAAAACAAAGGTAAAACTTATGTTGTTGCTCCACTTACGGTGAGCACCATCATCCCAAAGAATCTGATTACCACCAAAGATTTTGAAGAAAAGTACCTTTCTGCTCACCCTCGTACGTGGCCTGTTAGCGTATACCCTTCTTCTATCCGCCCTTCCAGTATCCATGCTGTAAAGGAAGACTGCCACTATCAAGATTTGGATATTATTGCTCCCGACCTAGCGGAGCGGATAACTTTACCCAAGAAGGATTTTACATATTTTTACACGTATCCCTTCACTTTGGGAGTATTTTCTTTGAGCTGAGAGCTTAACTCCATTATTGTGGAGTTCTGCCTCAGCTATCAGGTGTGCTTGGCAAAGGTAACCCCTATATGTGGAGGAAAAATGCTTGTCTTCGGCGCCTGTACCAGGAGACGGGAGAAAATCTATCCTCAGCTCGAGTGATTAATCTTTATTCCCCCAAAATCTTCCGCGAGGGAATGATAAATTTCAGCAAGCGTGGCTACCATGCACTGCTATCGAGCATGGATGATGACAACAACTGTGAGTGGATGGAACGGTTCATTTCAGTCGCCACTAGTGACATCATCTTGTAATGACCCGGCCGGTCGTTTCGAGAGTTGCAGCCCCGTTCTCCCATTTACTGCTCTATTTGTGCTTTATATCCGTTATATAACTTATCGGGTTAGTTGGTTCAGGCCCGTGAATTAAGACACTTAGTCTCTTAATTGAAAGCTTAAGTTAGACAAGTCAACCGGATGTCGACTTATGTATAAACGACCTCTGATTTGAATTTTGATAGTTCTGTTAGCTCTATTGGGTAATTCTGGACTTAAGAGTGTATCCGGATTATGATTTGGAGATCGGGAGTAAAATTAAGGTTGAAATGGCAAAATTGGAATTTTGGAAAGTTTGATCGGTAGTGGACTTTATGATATCAGGGTCGGATTCCGATTCCGGAAGTTGCAGTAGGTTTGTGGGGTCATTTGTGACTTGTGTGCAAAATTTGAGGCCAATCGGACGTGATTTGATAGGTTTCGGCATCGTTTGTAGAATTTATAAATTTCGAAGTTCATTAGGCTTCAATCTGTGTGTAATTCATGTTTTTGATGTTATCTGAGGTGGTTTGATGATTTGACTAAGTTCGTATTGGGATATAAGACTTGTTGGTATGGTTGGTTGAGGTCCTGGGGGCATCAGGTCGATTTCGGGTAATTAACGGGTCAAGATTTGAAGTTGTAAGGACGCTGAAGTTTGGACTCGGCTTGTGTAATCGCACCTGCGGAAGTCTTATCGCAGGTGCGTACCCGCAGAAGCAGCCAAGTGAGTGATGCAGCAGAAGGTCGCAAGTGCGATGATGTTCCCGCCTATGCGCGACCGCAGATGCGGCAGAAGGGCCGCAAAAGCGCATTTGGCCTTGAAGCTTGACTCCGTAGAAACGGAAGTTTGTCTCACAGAAATGAGTGCGCTGGTGCGGAATAATGGGGCGCAGGTGCAGAGTTTTGCGCAGAAGCGGGCTTTGGGGGCGCGCCTGCGAGACCGCAGAAGCTGCCAAGTTGTCGCAGGTGCGGAAGGCCTGGGCAGAGTCTTTAAATGCGAGACTTCAAGAGTTTTTTTACCATTTCTAACATTTTGAGCTCGGATTTAGGAGGTTTTTGAGAGGATTTTCAAGGGGATTCTTGAGGTAAGTTCCTTGTGTTCATTTTTCTTCGATAATTATGTTTCCCCACTGATTTCCCACCTAGATGGTATGTGTTTTGGGGTGTAAATTGGGGGTTTGAGGCTAGGGATTTGGAGAGTTGGTTTTGAGGATTTGAATGATCAATTGGTGTCGGATTTTGATGAATTTGGTATGGTTAGACTCGTGAGTGAATGTGCTTTCGGATTTTGTGACTTTTGTCAGATTTCAAGATGTGGGCCCGGGGGCCGGGTTTGGATCGATTTCGAATTTTGGCTATAATTTCGTATTTTCTTGTGGAATTGATTTCTTTATCCTATATTGATTGTATTTTACTAATTGTGGCTAGATTCGGGACATTTAGAGACTGATTTGAGGGGCAAGGACATTTTGGAGTAGAGTTTAGCTTGGATTGAGGTAAGTAACACTTTCGATTATGAGGGTTCGAAACTCCGAATTATGTGTTATGTGATTGGTATTGAGGTGACGCACATGCCAAGTGATGGGCGTGCGGGCGTGCACCGTGAGAATTGTGACCTGGTCGATTCCACGACACTATCTAGTGGTTCTATCTTGTTGATATCCATGCTTTCATCATGTGATAAAGTAATTGAGCAGTCAGTCATGCTAGATATCATGTTTAGGCTTTATGCCGATACTGTTAGGACCCATTGTGGTCATTTCTTACTGTTGTCTTACTGATTTCATTGATATTTTGTACTCACTCATATTCATTCATTTCATATTACATCTCAGTATCTGTTGTTAATAATCGATACATCATATCATTGTTTTCGGGCTAGTATCATGACATTGTGAGCCCGTGAGAGAGAGAGAGAGAGAGAGAGAGAGAGAGAGAGAGAGACTGGAGAGATTGATGACTGAGTGAGGCCGAGGGCCTAATTATGAGTGGCATTTATGGGATTGGGCTGCACGCCACAACAATTATACTGATTTATGATAGCTCTTGGGATGAAGGAGCCCCTCCGGAGTCTACACACACCCCCAGTGAGCGCGGTTGATATTTTTGAGGGACGGATCTTTCCTGGACATGGATCTTGTCCGAAGTATTTTATATCTGGAGATGGATCTTCTCCACGGGCTGGATTTTTCGTACTCGGTATTGGATGACTGATGGTCAGTGATGTATATATTCTGGGATGGATCTTCCCTGGGCCATATACAGTACCGAGTGATTGAGTATTTGAGAGTGTGAGTACATGAGGTTGTCAGCATCATATACAACATGTTCATTGGCATGGTAGAAGTAGAGGAGTTATATTTTGCATATCATTCAGATTGATCCATTTTACTAATTTAAGATATCTATCGAACTTGAAAGCATGTCTATATTTCTGCACTATTATTTTCTGTATTGAGTTGTGTCGGTTGAGTTCATCACTACTTTTATCCCACATTTTGGGTTTGTTACTTACTGAGTTGGTTATACTCACGCTACACCCTGCACCTCGTGTGCAGATTCAGGTACTTTCGGTTACGACGACTGCTGATTAAGGAGACAGGATCTCGTAGACTA